TCTACCGAAGGCAGAGTGAGACTCTATCTCAAAAAAGAAAAAATGTGTATTTAAAAATATGAGGCAGGATGGTGTTGTAACCCAGCCCTCTTCCCCCCACCACCACCCTCTCCTGTTCCCTGGCCCTCTACAGCCCCTTCCCATGCCCCCCCAAGAGTCAAAGCACAGAAAGTCCCAAGTTTCACAAAACCCCCAAGTTCTCAGTAGATAAATAATGGTGGAAAACTCCCTGAGGCTTGCTCAGTAAATGAGCAATGGTGGAAAACTCACTGAGGCTTGATTAATTACTATTGTATAACCATAACTATTGTGATTTAAGGTGTATCCATTGATCAATTACTGTTATATAATCATAACCGTTGTGATTTGAAACATATCCATTAATAACCAAGCTGTAACCCTGCCAATAGCAACGTTCCTCATCACCCCCCCCGCACCCCGGCTCACTTAAGCTACACAGAGAAAAAAGGGTATAAAAGACAAATAACCCTGCACTTTGGGGCCGACTTATCTCAGAACAATGGCCCCTGCACAGGTACAAATAAATCAATTATTCATGTCAGGGTGGGTCCAAGTTTATATTCTCATGACCCCAAGGTCATTTCAGTGGGCAAGGTGGCTCATGCTTGTAATTCTGGCACTCTGAGAGGCCAAGGTGGGTGGATTATTGCTTGAGCTTAGGAGTTCAAGGCCAGCTTGAGCAAGAGCAAGGCTCATCTCTAAAAACAGCTGGGCATTGTGGTGGGCGCCTACTTGGGAGGCCGAGGCAAAAGGATTGCTTGAACCCCAAAGTTTGAGGTTGCTGTGAGCTTTGATGCCATGGCACTCTACCCTCAGTCTCAAAAAAAAAAAAAAACAGTAAGATTTAGGGACACAATTATAAGAGGGACTTTACCTAACAAATGCAAATATTGTAACCTAATTCTTTGTAACCTTAATTAACCTGAAACAATAAAAAAAATTTTTTGCTTTAAATATTTCTTTGAGGAAGGAGATGCTACACTTCTATTCAATGAAGAGTAATATTTTTACATTAGCCTTTTATTTTTTACACCTATTATTATTCCATGAATTCATAGGTAATAGATTCCAGCACCTCATGCCCCTTTCAACTGGTTCTCTGGTGTGCTATGCTGAATGTCTATTATGCCATAAATCCATACAGAATAGGTTCTGGCAGCTCCATCTCCTTTCTGTTGGTTTTCACGGTGACTTTTCTGGGTGGAGCAGGCTGGCGCTTCAGTTGAACCTAGGCACCTTTCTCTTTGGCTTCCTCTTTTTCTGATCATTTTCCTTCATCTTGGCTCTTAGAGTGCTTAATATACTCAACGCGAACATTAATCCCCTTGGCAGGAATCTTGCTCTTGTTTACAACAATGGCAACAGCATGCTGGGGAACACTTCAGGCTCTTCCAGTTTTGCCCTGGTGACATCTGTGTAGCATGCCTTATTGGCATGCCTGTAGTACCCATTCCCCTGATGTCTACTAGGTTTGTGTGCATGTGGCGAAAGAAGCAACTCCATGTTTTCTGAAAGGCCTAGAGAACAAATATCAGTGCCTCTCCTCTTTTCCTTGAGTTCATCATTCTGGTGAATTACCAGAAGATGGCATCTCCAGCCAAAGGAAGCACCAAAATAAATTTTTTTTTTTTTTTGAGACGGAGCCTCAGCTATCCCCCTGGGTAGAGTGCCATGGCATCACGCTCACAGCAACCTCCAAC